TTTTCCCCCTCCTCCTCCACCAGCTCCCTTCTCCCCCTCCTTCCCTTCCTCCTTCTCCACCAGCTTTTCCCCCTCCTCCTCCACCAGCTCCCTTCTCCCCCTCCTTCCCTTCCTCCTTCTCCACCAGCTTTTCCCCCTCCTCCTCCACCAGCTCCCTTCTCCCCCTCCTTCTCCCTTCCTCCTTCTCCACCAGCTTCTCTCCCTCCTCCTTAGATTTTAAGCGCGATTGAATTCCAGCCAATCAGAACAGTGGTTTTTAATCGCGCTTAAAATACATTTTAAGCACGATTAAAATAGGAAGGTTTTGGCGGTAATGGGCTTCCGGCGCGCGCCAACGGCGCTGAGCCAGAAAAATCTACGATAGATAGAGCCAGAGCCGATAGAGCCAGAACACGACAGATATTTTGTTCGCGCGCGCCAACGGCACACGATGCGCGCCAATGGCGCAGAGCCAGAAAAATCAAATACGATATTTTGTTCGCGCGCGCCAACGGAGTACGCCAGCCCGCACACGGTCCGCGCCTTCGGCGTGTGCGGGGGCCTTTAGCGTTCTTAGAATTTCTTATTCATTTCTGTGATGGCAGCCATTTAACGGACAGCTTTAGCGAATAACATGACAAGACAATAAAATACACGTTATACTGAAACTTGAAGAGCAGGTGTATATATGGTGAAATGTTAAACTCTGAGGTGCAAGTTGTAGCAATATTTTAAAATATTAAATTTAGACTAAACAATAATCTATTAGTAAAGGCCACACCATGGCTATATAAAATACGTGCTGTAATTACTGTATATGATAGTTGTATTTACAAACAGACTTCAGCAATGTCATGATAGAATGAAGGTAAATATTTAATTATTCCTCATTTCAATATATAGTACAAAAAGTAAATGTTGTGGCACGTTGATTGAGTAATACAATAATCAGTGCACATTTTACATTCTGGGCTTTCTTGAACTTGCTCAACCTTTAAACTGGTCTCGCTAAATCCAAATAATGGAATCTGCAGGGTACATAAAATAGAGCAATAATCTTGTTGGCTCTGTCAATGGTAACACAAAATAAACCATCAATTTTTATGGGAACTCTATAATAAATTAATCCGTGCATATTCATTTGCTGATAAACAAATGTAAAGTAGAGACTTGCAGCAACCTGTTACATCCATACGATAATATAATTCGTATTATCCGAAATATTGCCATATATAGCTCGTAGATGTGGCACCTAAATTAAATTTACTAAAGTTAACGAACGACAGATATTACATTATAAGCCCTAAGAATTCAATCATATATACATTCCTTGCGCACATTTCCGATTACCACTGTTAGAGTAAGTTTTTTCCCACAATTTGAGCATAGAAAAACATTGTGTGCAAATTTAAGCTTGTGCACCTTGTAAAAAATGCATTGCTCCATTTTATTTAACATATATTTGACTATATATACCAGAACAGAACTCAATTATCCTGACAATTTCTACGGTAGATCGTTTACCAAGGCGACAATAAGGAACTTAAAAAGCCACCAGAAATGTGTTTTTTTTTTGCAATTTTTTTCTTGAATCTACACGATACTGGTAACTGCTGAGCAAGCCGGATAGCGTCAAACCAACGATCCTTTCCGGGTACGGTGTCAATTCGTATACGTACCTGTGGTGATGCCAGCTGCGTGCGCCAAGGTTAATGAGGACAAACAGCAGGAAGGGGAGCGCAGGCAGTGACCAACAGATAAGCGCGTAGCCGCTCCACTCAACCAGTGTAATGACGTAGATGTCGAATTATTTAACCTAGTATAGAACTTAGCGACACGGGTCGTTTAACGTAAGCAGATCACGTCATAGATTATTTTAGTAACAGCCAAGGCAACAAGCGAAGGACACCTGCTCTCGTCACTAGCCGCACACGCCGGGCGCGTGGCGCGCGCGTGGCACAACAAAAGAAGAGAAAATATGTGACGACAGAAAGAGAAAGTAATCACCTACACAAGGCTGAAAGAAACATAGTGACACTTTAGCACGTCACAGTTTGATGTCGCATGCCGACTAATAAAGAACAAACAACGAACGCCGCCGACAAATGTGAACTATGAGAACATGAATCAAACTGCCGCGATTCCCAAGGACTTCTAGAAGCTTCTGCTGCCGTTCTCACGCTAGAGAAAGAAGTCTCTCACCTTCAGTTGTCCATAAAATTCTGGAGAAGGACACAGGATTTCACCATCGCATGCAATAAGGCCTTGAGGACACTTGGACCAAGCATTCCTCCAGTTGCATAAATACCGAACAGTTTCGACAAAAAGGCAGAGACAGTTCACGACGCTGTCAGCACCTGCTGCTCGCTACTACCGTTGCCGCCGGACGCCGCCGCCTGACTGAGGACCGCCTGCTACTCCTAGGTCGTAAGATACGACTTACTCGTAACGCGTATTTGCTTACTGGCCTGCGTAGCCACCTATGTATTGTATGTAATCGTCAATATGATGTTGATTATTAAAGAATACAGTAACCGTAGTAATTAATTCTGTGGTTATAGCATTATACTGTCTGTGGCTTAAGTGCAATAGCACACGTATCTGTCGTACAAACGAACTTGGACACACTATACAATAACACGTGCCTATTACACGGGCTCACAGGCTCCGCTATACCACCTCACCAAAGAAGTTTGCACAGAACACGTACTCAAAGTACGTAGTAAAGTTGATCACATCCAGATGAGACGGGATACTAGAGAAGCGTTGCCGAAAGGAGGTGTTGATCCCAAGCGCTATAAGCGCAGATCTTGCGCCGCCAATTTCCGCGGCATAGCTCGCACGCGACCGCGGGCGTAACGCTCCTACGACAGGGGTACTGACCAAGGCGCTGGGCAGCTATGGGGATACGCTGCGCCGAATCAATTGGGTCGGGCCGCACGGCATCCATCGAGCGTGCCCACGAACCAGTCCGCCAATTTTAGTTGGGGGACACAGAGCGGTAGGGATTGTTGGGACTGGCCAGTGTTCACTTTGTTATCAAAAACTGTAAAACGAGTAATATCTGTTCGTAACCGAGCTGGGTGTCACGGCGAAATCACAGAAAGAATCGGTCGAAATTCTGGACTATTCGGGGAACCTGCCCCATCTCCTTCAGGCAGCTAATTGGAAACGGCCGGCCTGGCCGGGTTGTCAGAATCAGGAAACACCTAACCGGCGCTCTGCGCGCCCCAACGGCTGCCAACGTTGTTTGGCATACGCTTCCAATGGCGGAGGTCGCTTACGGGCGTAGTGGAAAGCAGTGCGCCGCCCTGCGCCCGCCTTTAATAGCCATATGCCCACTGCGCACTCTCTCGCCACCTCTCGGCTTAGGCTTAGTCACTAATTGGGACTAAATCGAGGTTGGGAGCGCAAGCTGCCTAGTCCATATATAGCCTCTTGCACCTCCGACAAAACCTTCTCTGAATACAGCATGGGTTAGGCCTCATACTAGAAACACTTAACAATTTTCATGTTCAGGTTTAATACTTAGACTTTTCGCTATTTACGTTCTCCAGCATTCTTACTTATTTATTCGAAACCGCTTCCAAGCTGTCCGTGGTGTCGTACCGTATAAAGCCTCAGTGGCTGGTATATTCTAACCCTACGCCAACATAAGGGAGACGTTTCTGCTAGTCGTAGTAGTTACTCGTACTTGCGCAGCTAGCTGCTGTTTCCAACGGGCTGATAGAGAACATGGCTCCCAAATTATTATGAGGCCCCATATGCTCATGGCATGGGGAATTAAAACCATATGGTCATTTACAATCAAATATAAATTTTACATATTATATCGAATATAATACCGGCATTCAGCGGCTTCGTCCATTATTTAGATTAAGTTTGAATTCACTAGCTCAACAGACCTGTTTCAGTCATTTATTTACCTATTACCTATTACTATTTTTAGCTCGTGCGTGGTCCTGGTAGTTACTAGTACTAGTACTAGGTAACTTTAAGTAGTAACTACTACTACTAGTAGTAGTAAACTAGCCTAAGTAAATTATTTGGTAACATGTACTCTGTTAGTATCACTAGTGAAGTACTGTGTAGTAAGATATTACACACAGCTACTAGTCAGTACTTGATAGCTAATACTAACGTATTCGTAGCCGTAGGTGTGGAATGTAATACCAGTCTTAATGTGCCGCTAGTCTCAGTCTAAACAAACTGAACATCGTCATAATCATAATGGCAAACATCAGAACATCAGATTGGAGCGATAAGATGGATGCGAAAAGTTCATGCGGCAGTGACGAGCAGGGCTAGACGGCTACCGACCTTCACTCAGCCAACTATCGTTGGCTACACTGAAGTGAGTTACGCTAGCGTGTCGAACTGTGCACCGCGCGGCAGTCTAGGTCATGCAGCCGAGCGTTTTTTTTTTAAAAACTTGAAAATGGTACGTAGATGGACTCGTTGCGCCATCTATGGGTGGCGATAACTTCCAAATTAATGTCAGGGCATAAATCAGCGAAAAGGGAAAATTATTTTTCTAGACGAAAAGCACGCGCGCCGAGCCACAAAGCAACAAAAACGAGTATTTGGATTTATTCTCGCCCTACGTGCAGAGTCGAAAGGCTTCTGCAATGGCCAGAACTGCTCAATTGACCGATTATACGGCTTTATCCTATACCAAGAATGGCCTCGTGAAAGTATTCTAAATATAGGGCAGCGAGTTGTCTGAAATGGCACCACAGGTGGCGCTGTTCGCGCTTCGCGCGTATATCCGGCTGCAGATCGTCCAGTCAATACAGCAACGTCAGCAAGTCAGCTGAACTCATATGCTGCAGGCATAGTTCAGGTTATAGAAATAATATACTAGTCAGGCCTAGTGAGTGCCTTTATATAATTCTATGGTACAGGTATAAACACACATAACTGTATCATTCTCCTGATTTCTGTCATTTGTTGCGAGAAATTTTTGAAAACAGATAAAAAGTCCAGTGCCAAAAGTTTAATATACTTCAAACCATCGTAGCCACGCAGGTAACTTCCCTATCATAGAGGAGTTCAGTAATGAAGTCGGTGCGGATAAAACTCACTTTTTATGCCAAAAACGTGCAATAAACTCTCATAATTTATAAACATTTTCCAGTACATCACCTAGATATTTAATATACTTAGACATATATATATTTACACACAGCACAACTACCTTACAAAAACTGTGTAACAGCTACAGGTCGTTCAAGTGAGTGGTCTCCTGAGCAGAGATGCCAACACATATTTGAAGCAATCTGTAGTTTCTGGCCATCAAATTAGTAGTTCAAGGGTCACGTAGTGACCCGAGTTTGCTAGGGGGTCCGGCATGACCCCCGGAAAAATGTTTGATTCTGAGATGCAATTTCCTGCATTCTGAGGGTCAATAATGACAATAAATTGAGAAAAAATGACAAAAATATTTTTTTTCGATCACAGTGAAATTCGTAGTTTGATACAAACTGGTCGTAGTGGTGCAAAAGGAATAGAAATTCGTATAAAATACGGATAAATCGTAGTGGTTGGCATCTCTGCCCGAGTGATTGTGTCAATGCATAATTTGGTTTGGGGTGGAGAGCCAGAATAATCCAGGCCCTTCAAATCTCTATATAGTTGCTACCTCAGTGTACAGCAAGCAAAATCAAGCTGAAACGCTATCTGCTAACAAATACCGACTCCGTCACGTTGTCAGTTTGGTTACAAAAGATGTACCCAATTAGGGTCACCGTGGTTCTACACTAAAGAGCCCAGGTTTGATCATTTGGCAATAAATAACAAGAACTCATCATCTATCGAGAGAGCAATGGCAAAAACTAAAAATCAGGTTGTAATTTCAGCTTATTTTCTAACTTTATGCACGTAGCTAGGGCCTCACTAATATTCAGCAATAATTGCAATAATGGAATCATTAAATAAGTTCATTCGGTTGGTAGACTAATAGATCTAATTGGGTTAATTGTTACTCAACCGTGAAGATTGGTAACGTACAGCCTCCTGCGAAACGTAAGCCTCCTTCGCCTCCTGCGAAACGTAAGCTTCCTTCGCCTCCCTCGCCTCCGACGAAACGTGAGCTGTACGTTTCCAATCTTCACAGTTGAGTAACAATTAACCCAGTTTAGATCCAATAATGGAATCATTCGCTTTTCCCTGCCATGTCCTTGAGTCTGGCTAGAAGTGCACAAATACTCGGGAAATTCTCCGCTACACTCGGCAAATAATGACCTACCACATAGTAATTTTGCATTGCTCAAAAATTAAGGGAAAGTTTGATTATTTTCGTTATTTATAGACGGTTTGACGAACAGGTTTATTTGGTTACATGAACAAAATTATGGTTGCTATGGAAACTCCTAAAAATACTACTATGCTCTTGATGTTGATGAGCTCTGAGTAAATACAAAATACTCGTCTAACATTCATCAGAAAATGAATGGTATTAAAGCTTTTCGGTTCTTCGGATAGTCCTCAAACTTTGCTATGTAGCTTCTGTGGACAAAGAAATTCCATTTAGAACATCTATATTAATAGTTTTTTAGTAAAAGAAGTTTTTTTTATCAAAATTTGAGCATAGAAAAACATTGTGTGCAAATTTAAGCTTGTGCACCTTGTAAAAAATTAATTGCTTCATTTTATTTAGATATATTTGACTATATATACCAGAACAGAACTCAATTATCCTGACAATTTCTACGGTAGATCGTTTACCAAGGCGACAATAAGAAACTTCAAAAGCCACCAGAAATGTGTTTTTTTGCAATTTTTTTATTGAATCTACACGATACTGGTAGCTGCTGAGCAAGCCGGATAGCGTCAAACCAACGATCCTTTCCGGGTACGGTGTCACTTCGTATATGTACCTGTGGTGATGCCAGCTGCGTGCGCCCAGGTTAACGAGGACAAACAGCAGGAAGGCGAGCGCAGGCAGTGACCAACAGATAAGCGCGTAGCCGCTCCACTCGACCACCTCTCCAAAGAAGTTTGCACAGGACACGTACTCAAACATTCCGCCTGAAAGTATTAATAAGAAGTCTCCCGCATGAGCATGCCTCGCCACCCATGTCATGTCACAGAGAGGTCAGAGTCAGGGATGCATTTGTGAACGGATTTAGCCCCCCCAAGATACAAATGTTAGTCGGCGGCAACGACGCTGTGCCGTCAGGTATGAAGTATGGGACGATGTGTTAACAGAACGTATGCACCGAACGACCAATCTCATGTGATAGCGACAGAAACATCACTTGTTCATCAGGTGAGGAGTGATGTCATTGAAAGGAACAAAGTCTGAGTGTGAGCATTTTCCTCAATTGATTATTTAATCTTATGATTTATCTCCACATGCAAAAAAGCAATACTATGAGACTGACTGATATCGTGTAAGTCACATACGAAGATACACAGCACACACAGAAGCTGGCATGCGCACACACATGCAAGCTGGCATGCATACACATATACAAGCTGGCATGCACACACCCATACAAGCTGGCATGCACACACACATACAAGCTTGCATGTGCACACCCATACAAGCTTGCATGTGCACACCCATACAAGCTTGCATGTGCACACCCATACAAGCTTGCATGTGCACTCATACAAGCTTGCATGTGCACACCCATACAAGCTTGCATGTGCACACCCATACAAGCTTGCATGTGCACACCCATACAAGCTTGCATGTGCACCCACATACAAGCTGGCATGCACACACATTCAAGACTCACAGTATGTATTATTAAAACCAACCAGCTAGATTGCGCATGAAAATGTATTAATGAGCTTATTTCAAAAGCGATTATAATATGAAAATATTATCAAGACTTGACAATAGAAATAGATTTACTCTCAAACTGTACTTGTTGCTAATCTACTCTGGTAATGTATGCAAGAGCATGTGAACCTAAGTGTACAGCCATGCTCACATATATATAGCTCAGTGCTCACCATTTGGTATTCTATAAATCAGTTCTCCTGGCTTTCTCAGGTTCCTCAGTATGTGATCGGAGTGGATGTTAATGAGCATGCCAACAAAGAACATCAGGATTCCTGGAAAATAAAGGCACACAATGTCAGGCAGGGAAATCCATCTCACAGTAGACATTTTCGGCCGAGCTTTGTCAAGCATTCGTGGTTTTCACAGAGTCCAGTACGTGGACAAGCATATCTATCAAAATCTCATTGACACCGCTCTTGCTCAAGAAGTTTGGGGATAACTCGTATATGAATAGTGTAATTGGCTTTGTTAAATTTTGTTCTTATTGGTTTCTTTAAGTTATACCAAAGGGCCTGAAATTTTGAGCATCACACATAAATAAGCTAGACTCAATAAAAAGGCATCTTGCTACGGCAATACATAACAGCATTGAGTAAGAGTCCATAATCGAAAAACCACACAAGTTATTTTCAATCAATATTTTGAAATGGCAATAACTGTTATAAAACGTACAGGATAAACTACTACATTAACAATCGCGAATACAGGTGTATATTACAGTAAGGCTGAGGGGGTCTATGTCCGTCGCCTACTCCCTAACCCTAACCATATCAAATAGTGACCAGGGTACGTACCGGTATACCAGACCGTACCCAGGGTACGTTCCGACAGTACCCTGGAGGACATGAACCCTATGAGCTACAGTAATGAAACCATCACCACATAATAAATTTCATCACCTACAGCAACCTATCTAAAAACAACACCGATTTCCTCCGCCCTATAAATCACCAAGCTATCACTATAAACTACTTTTAAAAACAACAAACAGCCTGCAGTGAAATTGCACTTACCAAGGGTAAACCTTGGATGAAATAGTACACCGTTATCATATTTAGCAAATTTAGCAATGAAACAGCTCTGTAGGTAGCCATTGTAGGTACAAAATGTGATCGCCAACGTGAAGGAAAACACAGGTAGTGGTGATGAACCTCTCTTCATCAATGCCGGATAGAAAAAAGTTCTAAAATGTTAAAAAGAAAAGAATTGGCAAATCATACAGAGAAATTGTTAGTGTCGTTATACCAGATAGCCACTTACCGAGTGGGAACCTAGGATGGAACAGTATGTAGGTGTGATACTTTGCGTACTTTCCATGATAGCTGCCTTGGAGGTATCCGTTGTACAAGCAGAATATAAATGCAGATGCAAATGTTATAATTGGCGTAGGCTTACCTCCTCTTATAAAAAAAGGGTAGATAAAGGTTCTGAAACACAAAACCGTAAAAAACCTAACAAATCTGAAAAAATTACAGATAGTTAGAGAATTGCAGTTTATAAAAAATTCAGTTTCTCATCTGCATATATATATGTTTCCTTTGCTGTATACTAATAAATCAAATTCTAGATGGTGATACTACAGATGCTGTACACACGTAAACCCATCCCATTCCCACTTAAAACAAATAATGCTGACATAGCCAATTGCCATATGGTACTTTATGTAGATTTAGCTACACTTGAATATAGAGGGTGCAAGGAAATTCTCTTGTTGATGCATTACCCATAATCATTACAAACAGACCTAGCGAGTCATGACACATTCGTAATAAAAACAGATTTTGAAAATTTGAAGCGATATGTACACCCTTTTTTCATCTTCCTCGACAGTTCACATCGCCTACTCATTTCTTCCTCTCCACCTTACCTACCTCAGCTAATCTCCACTATCCTTTTGCTCCTCCTCTTATTCTAGTTTTCCCACTCTTCCATGTTTACCCTTTCAATTCCTTCTCTGGATTTCTCACCCCCTCCTCCTTCTCTACCCTTTTGCAACAGGACCTCGCCACACTTTTTTCCCATCTTACTATAACTTTTCCTACATTCTACTTGTGTTTAATTATTGGAGTGCAGTCCCGGAGAGCATTTTTCGAAAGGGTCACCAGTAAGCAATAACACATTGTCAAAACTGAGCAGTTGCGCTTTAGATGCGCAACCCCATCTGTTACCATCGCTGATCATTTAGGATTCTAGACAAAACCAGTCAGATCCGACCTAGTTTAGGTCCATAGTAAACACACACTATCATTGTGACCACATACCACAGAAATAAGTCACTACAAATTTGGGTCAACTGAAGATGACTTGATCGAGACTGGTTGCTATAGTGATATAACATATGCAAGCATATATATATATATATATATATATATATATATATACCAGTTACCAAGCATATGTTTGTTTTGATGCCACGCTGGTTGGGGATAAAAGTTGCTACAGATTATAATTAAATTAGTGTGTATGGAATTGCTATCAAAGTTTTCTGCGGTCTGAAAGAAAAATGATAAAATGATCGACTCGCAGAGCAGTTCCAGTTGATCCTTGATGCGACCCCTTGCTTATACCTATAATATGAGCTGTTAGGCACCAGTCACACATTCAGGATTTTTACTGCCGTCCTTGATAGGGAAATTTCCCGATTAAAATTTATCAAAAGTCTGATCAAGATCCTGTGATTCGTGGCGGAAAATTTAAACTTTATTAAAAATTTGTAAAAATATTTATTTAATCACGACAACAATCACATATTGTTCAGGAAGCGTCCCGATTCAGCCGTTTCCAGGCGAATTCGTCCCGATTCTCCAGTTCTCAATCCGATTCTGATCCGATTTGTATCTTTCGCAAGGTAAAAAACTACCAAATCTGTCCCGACAGCGTCCCGATTCTCCCAAATGCAATCCGACAGAGATCAGACAGTGACACGACAGTGAACCGACGCTGACGGAAGACGATGACAATGATGGATTTCTCCAGATCATGCCCGTTCATCACGACAGCGTCCCGATCCACAGGACACCGTCCAGACAACACAGAACATTGTTACGATTTTGATCCGATATGTACAGCAGAATCTGTCACGACATAGTCACGATTGTAATCCGACTAGACAAAATCGGCCGAGTTTCCCGAATGTTACGGGACGCACCTAACTGTTGGGAGTGCTTGGCCGACCTCTCCGGACCATTCCCAATCCATAGGACTCTGTTACGAATGTATACGACTGCGTTCAGACAATGATAGGACATTCCAGATCATTGAGGATAGTAATCCGACTTTTCCACTTTTCATGTCGTAGCGCTGTCTGATCTCAAACGGAAGCCATAATCGGCACTGTGTGAACGCCGCATTACCCAGGCTGAGGCATATACGAAGACAAGCTATGATAGCCAATAACATTATGATAAGACAAGCACAATCTTAATGCTCACACCCGCAGTACTATAGTAATAATAATAAATACTACTAAATACTATGTTACGTAATTAGATTCAGAAGACTGAATAAAGCATGCAGTTTCGCTGAAAGGGTCTATGATGCTCTATGTCCCCCAGGGTACTATCGGAGGGTACCCTGGGTACGGTTCGATATATCGGTACGTACCGGTACCTTGGTACTATCTAATATGACAGACCGTACTTCGCCTACTCCACTAACGAGTCTAGGGAGTCGCCTACGCCTACTCCCTAACCATATCAGATAGTTACCAGGGTACGTTCCGATATATCGAACCGTACCCAGGGTACCGGCCGATAGGGTTCAAGGATAGAGAACATGGGTCCCAATAAAACCAATGTCATTTACATCAATATAAATATAATATTATATCAATATAATAGGTTAGGGATATGGTTAGGGTTAGGGTTAGGCACATTGGTTTTATTGGGACCCATGTTCTCTATCCTTGGGCCTCCGATGGCCCCCTGGGGGACATAGAGTGATAGACTCTATGAGCTGCAGTTTCCCTAAAATGTAGTTTTAGTAAGACAAAATTCTCCGCACTAAGGTTAGCAGTGATCCTACCTTTGGAAATAGTGTATCGCAAGCATCATGAGCAGCACCACATTGACCCTCGGCATCGCGTTTACGTAATACAGGTACCAAACAGGAAAAGCAAAGCTGGGAAGTTCCTGTACAAACCATCCCAGTTTCGCTGGCAACGTCGGACCCCATTTGCTGCCGCCATGCCTTCCATATGGCGGAGCTATTGCCTTCAATGTAGGGATTAATATGACAGAAATGATTATTTCAATAAATGTCATCCATTCTAACAACTGTATCTCCGTAATTCCAAGCAAGTTGTGAAGACCGGTTCGGAAAACTGAATCACTGGAAGCTGCCATGATCATGATTCACTGCTCGAACTGCCGCTTATTGGCCGTTTTGTGCACTAGCGCTGATTTCTTGACGTGAGGCGCAGAGATCCAACGCACACGCCAAATTGCGGGTTAGATTTTAGCAGTTAATTTCGCACTGATAGGGTAGAACTTGAACCTCTATCACGCGATGTCGGCTGAACGAATTGGCCGTCATTGCATAGATTATCTATCGATAAAGACTCGGTGAGCACTTATTTCCATCGCTCAAACACCCCTAGGTCTAGGCTATCCCAGAAACCACCGCAGCGCACGCACATCGCTGATCTCAAACTGCATGCAGTGCCCCTTCCCCACTCCTTCCCACACTCAGGATAATACCAC